GACCATCTGAGCATCGACGATCTTTGAACCCTTCTGGAAGCACTCTTCTGCCTTCTTCCGATTACCAGAGATAGTGATCACCCCTTTGGGACCAGGCATCTTCAATTTGAGGTACACGTAACATGGTCGAGCCATAAAATGTGCATAAGCTGGTCTGCCCATAATGGCATGATAGGCACTCTGGAAATCCACAACTTCAAATGTCAACTTTTCTTTGCGGTAATTCTTGGAATCACCAAAAACTACGTTGAGAGCAATCTGACCGAGGGATGCAGCCTTCTTGCCTGGAATGACCCCATGGAAACTCATATTGCTTTCACCGAGTCTGGACATCGGAATGCCCATTCCCTTCAACGTCTCTGCATACAGTATCTTCAGGCCACTGCCACCGCCCATCAGGACTTTTGTCAGTCGAGTGCCTTCAACCACCGGGTCGACCACCAGTGATTGCCTCCCAGGGGTGGCTATGTGCGCTGGATGATCAGACTGGTCGAATGTAATGGCAGTCTGTGACCACTTCAAATAACTGGGTGTCACCGGAGCGACCATGTTCACTTCTTTGTTGATGACTTTCAATCGACTTTTGCTCTCAATGTCAGCAAAAATCACCAGAGTGGAATTCACGTGGAGATAACCATCATCATCCCCTTCCTCATCCTCAGCCTTGTCTGCTTCCTTCTCCTTTTCCTTGGGCTGTTTTTCTCGGAATTGCTGGATTAGGAGCCAACACTGCCGAGTGGTGTGCTTCGGGTAAATGAAATTACCCTCTTCATCTTTTTTGGTGTGGATGTGGCACAGCAGATCCAACACGTCATTTCCATCTTGATCTTTTACTTTCTTGGGGTTCCACGGCCCTTTGGGCTTCCCCTTGAACTTTCCTTGAACCACAGCCAAGGCTTCACCAGGAGCAGCTGGCTCGCCCTTGCGCTTCTGTTTCCGACTGGAGTTTCCTCCTCCGGCTTCGTGGGCGACTGCTTTGTGCTTGTCACTCCGGAGTCATTCTTCTTCTTCACCATTGGCATACTTGGTGGCAATCTCCATCATCCGAGTCAGAGTCATATTTTCTGTCCGTCCGAATTTCAGATTCAACTCCCGATACCTGACACCTTCCTTAAAGGCACAAATTGCCTGATGATCAGACACATCCTCCACCGTGTGGTGTAGGGTGATCCATCTTTGGATATAATCCCTCAAAGTTTCATTCGGTTTCTGAACACAACACTGTAATTCCGTCAAACCTGCCGACCGTTTGCAAGTGCCCTTGAATGTTCTAACAAACATTCGGGCGAGATCTTCCCAAGTATAAATATTGCCAGGTGCCAACTGATTCAGCCATGCTCTAGCCGAGCCCTCCAACATCAGAGGAAGGTGTTTCATGGCCACTTCATCATTGCCGCCACCAATCTGGACAGCCACTCGGTAGTCTTCAAGCCAAGTGTCAGGCTTGGACTCATCAGTGAACTTACTGACTCCAGTCGCCAACCTGAAGTTGGGGGGATCACTGCAGCTCTGATAGCTCTGCTGAAGCACTCTGGACCCGAGACATGCACCCTGTTGCTGGTTTGCAGATCCCTGTCATGGCCCTCTCGGTGAGCTCTGTTTCTGTCGACCAAGCCCTGAACGAGAATAGATCTCACATCAAAGCCTGGCTCCCTGGGGTCGACTGGAATACCTCGCCCAACACTGTGAGGGCGTCTGTCTTCATGTTGCCGAGGCACGTACGACCCACTCCTTGGGGAAGGCGTGGGCACTCGACGACGATCATCGCGATCAACTCGGTGATCATACTGCTCACGGTTTCTGTACTGATCTTGTCGATCCCCACGTCCCTCACGCCTCGGGGGCGATCTTGGGCTATGGGCCGACTGAACTGTGTCTGCAACCATGGATCTGCTATGGATCCTATTCCGCGACTAAGATACGACCGTATTCTGTTCACCCGCCACCCAGAGCAAGGCTCGGATCTGCACCAGACCTTGGCCAGCTTCTGACTGGGAAGGTTGGATCGACTTCGCTATCCAGGCAGCAGCTGCTAGATTCTGGATCGGGGTTCGGTATACCTGAGTCGGAGGTGGAAAAGGTTGGCGTCGACTGGATTCGGGAGCACACTGCCGAGCGCGATCCTTGAGTGCGCGCTGGAGGTTCTCCAGTCGAGTGCGCTCAGCCAAGTTGGCCAAGCGCGCCTGCTCCAAGGCCTGGGCCTCAGGGGTTTCTCCAACTATAGGAGTATGTAGTGCATCCATGTTCCGGCGGCGAAGTTCCTCCCTCTGCTGTGAAGAGAGGGGTTCGGGGCGGTACTCTTCATGAACGCGCGACGGATCGCTGTTCCCGTCGCCTCCGTCTTCATGGGTGAAGCCAGGAGGACTGCGTGGTCCATTGACCATCAAAACTTCTGCCGCTGGGTCGCTGCTGTCGCACTCGGATGCAGTCTCTACGGAGCCAGTCGACAAATCAAACAGGCCGTAGAGAGTTTCGTCGGGCTCGATTACCGCGACTTGAGGGGTGGCAGACTGGCGAGCCGCCGCATGCCTCACCCACCGCTGAAGCCTCGACCGCCTGGAACGTTTGCTCCGGCGGGCCACAGGGAGGGTGAAAGTTGCTGGAGCCAACTAATATTGGGTCGACGGCTGCCGCAGGAGGACGCCGCGGACGCGCACGCGTAAGTGCGTCGCCTCGCGGGCGGGGAGTGCGTCGACGTCGAGTGGAGCCTCCAGAAGCCAAGCGGAGTCGTTGGCGACAAACACGAGCGCGCCGAGACGGATCTCGCGGCCCTCAGCCAAACCTCCGCTTGAAACCATGATGAAGGGGATCAGAAAAATTGCAACTTCTCCAACAAGTCGCTAAGACACCTGCCCCACGGTGGGCGCCAACTTTCATGGTTCTAGGACTGACAGTAGAATAGGGGGGTAGGAATGTAGAGGCAAGATCCTAGCTATGGAGGAGTTGTACACGCGAGTTTTACGAGTTCAGCCCCTTCTCGGAGGAAGTAACAACCCTACGTCTCGGAGCTCGGAGGCGGTCGACTGGATATATGCGTGTGAATTACAAAAGGTGCGAACCCTTGTCCTAGAGGAGGGGGTGGCTTATATAGACTGCGCCAGGACCCCAGCTCCCCTCCGTTACACAGGGTTCAATGTTCATAAAGGAGGAGCGTTACTGGTAACGTCCGAAGTAAAGTGCTATAAATGTCCATAAAGCTATGACTTAAACCCCGACCGTTGCGGAGTGAAGGGCTTCACATCTTCTGGTGGTCGAGTGGTTGTTAGCATGGTCGAGTGTCTTCAAGGTGGTCGAGTGAACACATCTTCATGGTCGAGTGGATGATGGTTTTTCTTCGACTGCTTTTGGTTCTTTGTAGAGATGTCCTTAGGGAGGGTATGTTGGACAGATCCATGACCCTACCCTAGGTACATAGTTTCATCATCCGGCACCACCGACCTAGCCACTGCCAGAAACCCTAGTCAGTTCGGTCTCACTGATCGGGATCTCGATCTCACCGAGATGGCCTTGCAAACTCTTTGTTGCATGTTGTAATTATTTCGGTCTCACCGAAATGCGCAATCAGTCCCACCGAGTTTGTTTGACCAACTCTCTGTTTGCTCATTTTTGAAATCGGTCTCACCGAGTTTATGCAATCGGTCTCATCGAGATGAGGTTTTGCCCTAACCCTAACACATCGGTCCCACCGAGTTGATCATGTCAGTCCCACCGAGATTCCTAATGTTCACATTTTGAACTAAATCGGTCTCACTGAGTTCTTCTATTCGGTCTAACCGAGTTGGGTCAAATGTGTGTAACGGTTGAATTTTTTGTGGAGGCTATATATACCCCTCCACCCCCTTCTCCATTCGAGAGAGAGCCATCAGAACGTGACTACACTTACACTACTCATTTTTGAGAGAGAACCACCTACTCATGTGTTGAGACTAAGACATTCCAATGCAACCACAAGAATCTTGATATCTAGCCTTCCCCAAGTTGCTTTCCACTCAAATCATCTTTCCACCATAGCCAAATCTATGAGAGAGAGTTGAGTGTTGGGGAGACTATCATTTGAAGCACAAGAGCAAGGAGTTCATCATCATCACACCATCTATTACTTTTTGGAGAGTGGTGTCTCCTAGATTGGTTAGGTGTCACTTGGGAGCCTCCGACAAGATTGTGGAGTTGAACCAAGGAGTTTGTAAGGGTAAGGAGATTGCCTACTTCGTGAAGATCTACCCGAGTGAGGCAAGTCCTTCATGGGAAATGGCCATAGTGGGATAGATAAGGTTGCTTCTTCGTGGACCCTTCGTGGGTGGAGTCCTCTATGGACTCGCGCAACCGTTACCCTTCGTGGGTTGAAGTCTCCATCAGCATGGACGTATGATAGCACCACCTATCGGAACCACGCCAAAAATCTCCATGTCTACATTGCGTTTGCCTTCTCCAAACCCTTCCCTTTACCTTCATATGCAATGTTTTACTTTCCACTGCTACACTCTTAGAATTGCATGTGTAGATTGATTGCTTGACTTGTGATAATTGCCAAAATCCACCAACACTTAAAATTGGGAAAGGTTAGATTTTTATTTGGTCAAGCAGTCTAATCACCCCCTCCAGACCTACTTTCGATCCTACACTCTGTATCGTGAAACGCAATGAAACTTCCTCTCTTATTTTTTTCTCTAAAAATATGAATTTATAGAGTTGGGGTTAGGGGCAGAGGGGCCTCGAGGGCCCCACCACCCACCAGGGCGCGCTAGGGGGGTGGCGCGCCCTGGTGTCTTATGAGCAGCCAGCCCCCCCTCCAGTGGGTCTTGGTTGCAATATTTTTTATTTATTGGAAAATAATTCTCCAAAAAGTTTACTCCAAATCTGAGAACATTTATTTCGTCACAAAAATAGCACCATGGTAGTTCTGCTGAAAACAGTGTCACTCCGGGTTAGTTTCATTCAAACCATTGTGACAACATCTGCGCCAACGTCGGCGCAGAGCTTGGGAGGTAGTTCAGGAGCGGATGCAGATTGTGGTCTGCTTCAATGACATCTGGAAGACGGAACATGTGCTAGGTTCATGGTTGATGGATGACAAGTGTGGTTTCTTTCTTCGGCATCTTAGTCGTGGTGGGATGCTAGATATGGAGTTCGATGGCGTGTCCATGGTGTTGCTCCGGTCTGATTCGTTCAACGACAATGGCTTCATTTTTGGTGAGCCACCTTGGAGGTCCGCAAAGCTGCATATCAGCGATGGAGCCGCATCGAGCTCGGGTAAGGAGGTGTTTTGTCATTCTTTTCTTCGGTGGCTACCGTCGTGGTGCCGGAGGCAGGTGACAGGTGTTGGTGTCAAGCTTAGAGATGTTCTGCTGTCTTTTCAGTTCTGTCATGTCGGTCCTTATGTGACTTGTACTTTGATCTTTATGGTATGAATGAGATACGCATTATCATGCAAAAAAAACCTTCTCCACCTCCTAGTGGGAAAGATCTATCCTACATCATCTAACTACCAGACGTTCTAATTTTGTGAGGTTTTGATCTTACAACATGGATGAACTTCTTACAAAGGTCTGATTTGCTAAGGTCTAGCATCCATAGTTAAGCTTCAAATACTTTGGGTTCATTCATAGTTGAGAAAGAAAAGCTTTGTGAATGAAGGAAGGCCTATAGATTTTGAATGTGCACATGTCATGAGTAATGACGGAGTTTAGTATGAAGCTCGAATTTTTAATAGTCTCGTGCTCCATACACCCCGCGTGTTGAAACAACAACGTAAAGTGTCATGTTTATGGTTGTGTAGGACAGTAAATTTTTACCCACTCAACCATAACAACCAAGGTAATCAACAAAATCGATTACAAGCGACTAGCTTGTTTCTGCAATAGGTTTGCATGTGATGTGATATAAGCCTTCGTTTAATCAATATGTTTGTATGAGATGCATGTTCCAATATTTTATATTGACTTGGGAGTCATGGTACGACATGATGGTTCGAGTCATGTAATTGTCTTTTCTTTTATTTGTTGACATGTGTGTTAACCTCGGTGATACTTGAGACGACATTATTTTTGCGGTGGTGGACCTCAACGCAAAAGCCATACACGGAGATGTTCAAAATTATCTTTTGTTTAATCGGGCATCCGTTTTCCATTTAATTGCTCAAATGGATGTATTACATTGTTTTTTAACCGACAATAAAAATATATTCTGATACACAAGAGTTATATTGGAATTGAAACCGTCTTTTTTCTTTTACAAAATGAAATGGATTTCTTGAAGTAATGAAAGTAGTCCAATTCAAATAGTAGTTGAGAAAGAATTGCAATAAATACAAAGACGGAACATCTTGGATACGATATCGAAGCAGCGGAACCAAAGTTTCCAAATGGATAGGATAGGGCATTTATATATGTGGTAGATAACCTAAATGCAAAAAGATCTTCTGAAGAGCGAAATATTGAATGAATAGAGTGTAAATTCGTAAACATTGGTATTTATTTTTCTTTCGAATAAAATAATTCCATAATCACAAATGTTCAAACAATCTAGTGCTAGTATATGATTGTTGAGTTGCATTTCAAATTTGAAGTTGTTCATCATATACAATCACCACCCACCATTGGAGGTGTCTAAAAGGTTTTTCTTTGGCTACTTGGATTCTCTTATTGGTATTGCCCAAAATTTCATTTGTGATCCAGTCAAAGGCAATGGGATTATTTTATATGATGGTGCAATCCCGAGATATGCTACTGCGTCGGTTGGACCTCTCTCCAAATGGTATGAATGGGTGTGTAAAATTAAACACTGACGGATCTCGGTCGCTAGATGGGTGAGCGGGAGCAGGAATGGTACTCCGAGACAATACAAGCCCAATTATCTTCTCTTCTCGTAGGGAGCTTCTTTCTACACTTGTAGAGATGCTATGGAAGCCGAGCTTCGTGCCTGCATGGAGGGCTTCTCTCTATCATCGCAAAGATTTGATATTTCTATTTTACTGGATTCAGTTTATGTGGTGAATTGCATTCAAATTTGAAATGTTTAAGGCCTTATTTGGTTTGTCGAATTTTTGTAGGAATTCTATAGAATGAGATTTGCAAAGAAAAAAATTCCTTTAAGGCCTCCTTTGGTTTGTAGGAATCTTGTAGGAATTTCATAGGATAGGATTTTCAAAGGAAAAATTCCTATGAAGCCCTTTGGTTTGTAGGAATGGATTCCTAATCCTACGTAGGATAGGGTCCAATCCTTCACATTTCAAAGGGAAAAAAACATTAGCCTAGACTCAATGGAAAAATTCCTATCCTATGCATCAAATGGCATCTCTTTTTTTATAGGAATTGAGATGCATGTCATCCCACTTCCTATGAAGTTCCTATTCCTATAATATTCCTATCCTATGAACCAAAGGAGGCCTAAAGCTCTTTGATTTATAGGAATGGATTCCTATTTCTATGTAGGATAGGAATCAATCCTTCACATTTTGAAGAAAAAAAAAACATTAGCCTAGATTTAATGTAAAAACTCCTATTCCATGCATCAAATGACATCTAAAAATTACCCCGAACTATTTTTATTTTTCCGTGGAAGGCCAGCAAAGCTCACATATCTTGGATTTCATTTCATGTTTTCCCACGGGAGGACAAGTTGCGACCGCCCGGAGACCGGTTCGCTCATCACTAGCCTGCGACTCAGCTAGCCATTCTGGTTGACGTGGCTTCTCCGTCCTCGGTTCCACGTCACAGAGACCCATCATCCACCGCTCGTTCCAGATCAGACGGCTCCGCGCCCTCCCGCCCTCGTCCGGTCCCAGCGCGCAGGGACCGTGACACCGCTCGCTTCGTCCCCATCCTCATCTCTCCCTCCAGATCTCTCAGTTCCCCGCTATTAATTACCCACCTCTCTCTTCCCTCCTCTCTCCCCGTAGCTCTCTCTCCTCGCCCCGCTCCGTCCACCCCTCCTAGGGTTCGACGCCCTCGCCAGCACGCGGCGAAGCCACCGCCCACCTCGCCGGCGGCGTCCGCGGCCAGGTAATCCCGCTGCCTCCCCTCGCCACCTCCGGATCTCGAGGCGATCCGGTGGTCTGTCCTTTGCCCCCGATTCGCGTGCCGCTGCCGCAGATCTGCGTCGCATGTCGCTGTTTCCTGCCTGATCCGTGTCGAAATCTGCGTCGCGATGCGCCGTGTGTGTGTGTGTCGAGCCGTGCTTGTTCATCATGCGGCTGGTTTACGTGCTAGGTAGGTAGGTGAGGCGTCCAGATCCATGCGAGCCTAGGATTCCGAGACCGTTGCATGGCTGCGACGTTCGCCGGAGTCGTTAATTGGCGGCGGTTGTAGGCCGATGGGAATGATGTCGTGGCGACGTTTCGTCGGTGGATCTGTGCTTGATCCCAGGGTTGCACAGTTTCCTGTTCTGGTGCATTTGATATGTGTTTAAGCAAAGCGTTGGGGCAGCTATCTGGTCGCTTAGTTTTGAATGGACGCGAGCTAAATTGCTCCCGGATCCAAGCTGATGGACCCAATTAATGTTACTAAAAAATTGTCTGAGCGGTCTAATTCGGTTACTTTCTGGATAGTCTGCCTGGTTTCATTTTTGAACAGAATTGTAGCCGTCAGGCATTAATGAAAGTACAAGTTTTTAATTTAATTGTGATGCATATGTGCAGTATCTTGTCTGGTTGCAAATTGACGCAACTGAGCAAGAAATCTGTGGTTTTCATTTTATTCCTTTGTCTGCTTGTCAATATCTGGGTATGTTCATTTCTGTTTCAGCCAAATTGGTTCATCAACCTGATCGCAACCATGACTTAGGGGATAATGCACGAAATGGCAATTGCTGTGAAGTTTGCTTTGTTCTTCATAATGTTTAAGATTGTCATGTGCATTGTACATAATGCTGATCTATTTTCTTTGTGGGACCAGGAAGATGGCTGGCGGCTTTCGGGTGCTGCATCTGGTCAGGCCCTTCTTGGCCTTCTTGCCGGAAGTGCAGAGTGCTGACAGGAAAATACCATTTAGAGAAAAAGTGATCTACACCGTCATTTCTCTCTTCATTTTCCTGGTGTGCAGTCAGCTCCCGCTCTATGGCATCCATTCAACCACTGGAGCAGATCCTTTCTACTGGATGCGTGTTATTCTTGCATCAAACCGTGGTACTGTCATGGAACTGGGTATTACCCCAATTGTGACATCTGGAATGGTTATGCAACTTCTTGTGGGATCCAAGATTATTGAAGTTGACAACAGTGTGAGAGAGGATCGTGCTCTGCTGTAAGTATTTGCAAAAATAGCAGAATCTCGTTGTTACATTCCTTTCTAAAGTTACTCTGTTCATGGTCTCATGTATATGTAGTTTATCAGTTGTACAGTGAATGACCAATGAAAATTGTAAAGCGTGCTAATTCATATGTTGTATCTCCGGCAATATTGTGTTGATGTTGTACTTGCTTACTCAGGAATGGTGCACAGAAGTTGCTGGGTATCCTGATTGCCATTGGGGAAGCTGTGGCATATGTTCTGTCTGGAATGTATGGCAGTGTGAGCCAACTTGGAACTGGAAATGCCATTCTCATCATACTTCAGCTTTTCTTTGCTGGCATCATTGTCATCTGTCTAGATGAACTTCTCCAGAAAGGCTATGGTTTGGGTTCTGGCATTTCTCTCTTCATTGCTACCAATATCTGGTAAGCATATTGAGCTTTATTTTTGTTACTTGTTGATTGATGTGCTGCTACTCTGTTGCTAGTTGGCTTATGGTAGATTTGATCTTATGTAGTGAGAATATCATTTGGAAGGCATTTAGCCCTACCACCATCAACAGTGGACGTGGTGCTGAATTTGAAGGGGCTGTCATTGCATTGTTCCATCTGTTGATTACTCGATCAGACAAAGTCCGTGCCCTACGAGAAGCTTTCTACCGTCAGAATCTGCCAAATGTGACCAATTTGCTTGCTACTGTCCTGGTCTTTCTCATAGTTATCTATTTCCAAGGCTTCCGTGTTGTGCTTCCAGTGAGGTCAAAGAATGCTCGTGGGCAGCAAGGCTCATACCCAATTAAGCTGTTCTACACTTCGAACATGCCCATCATTCTGCACTCTGCCCTGATTACCAACCTGTATTTCATATCCCAGGTATGGGCTTCAGTTCCAGATCTATAATGACCATAGTAGGGTGAGCATTTGCATGCATGTTTAGGTGCTGATCGTTTTCATTGTTGGTGCAGCTTCTCTACAGGAAGTACAGTGGAAACTTTCTGGTTAACCTTCTCGGTATATGGAAAGAATCTGAATATTCTGGCCATTCTATCCCTGTTGGTGGTCTTGCTTACTATGTAACTGCACCATCAAGGTGAATAATTGATTTCTTGTCACTGCTTAGTCAAGAAAATACTGTTCAGTATACTTACCCCCTTTGATGGAAACTGCAGTATGGCTGATATTCTGGCGAATCCATTCCATGCATTGTTCTATGTGGTCTTCATGCTGTCAGCATGTGCTCTCTTCTCAAAAACATGGATTGAAGTCTCTGGTTCATCAGCCAAGGATGTTGCTAAGCAGCTGAAGGTACAAATGATGCATATGCAGTGTTTGTCGTGCCTGGTTACTCTTTCTTCTTACATAGCATGTCTCGCAACTCCTTTTGTGGAAAATATTGATTTTATTCTTTTTTTTTGCGAATATTGATTTGATTCATATGTGACTGTTTTCACTTGCGGTACCAAGCTGTCCAATTCTAAAATTGGTGCATATCACCAAAAATTTGTACAAACGGCCATGCAATTTCATCTCTTCCATCCACTGTTTAAACCTCAATTGTTTTGGTATATGATCCATTCATAAAACATTATTCTCTGTTTCTAGGACTTGTTTGTCTCTCGTAGGATGTTTATAAAATCCAGCCTGATGTTGGGGCATCAGCAGTCCTTATGTGTAATGCGACGAAGGGTTTAACTAGGATGACATATCAGAAAACATCATCATTATCTTTGTATACAACTAGTTTGTTCTTTGTAGGGTTCTTGGAAAGCCTGATGTTGGGACATCAATGGCTACACATTAATTGTTTAGCTGTAATATTGAAGTGTTAAGTTGGGGTGATTCATTAGCTGTTTTTGGTTACTTAGTTTCAACTTGCAAAGACTGTTGCGCATGAGCCTACTGTAACTTAATTTAATTCTTGGCAATCAAACAGGAACAACAAATGGTGATGCCAGGCCATCGTGAGTCAAACCTGCAGAAGGAACTGAACAGATACATCCCTACTGCCGCAGCATTTGGTGGAGTGTGCATCGGCGCATTGACTGTTCTTGCTGATTTTATGGGCGCAATTGGTTCAGGAACCGGTATTCTGTTGGCCGTCACCATCATATACCAGTACTTTGAGACCTTCGAGAAGGAGAGGGCGACAGAGCTTGGTTTCTTCGGGTTTTGATTGATACATGATAGCATTGGGAGCATGTTATGGCTACAGCACAGCTTGAGTCTTTCTAGACAGTCGCAATACTGCTTGGCTGGCTGGCTGTTGTGGTTGTAACCGGAGATTAAATTCTGTTTAGGTTACCCCGACTTATTTACAGTTGAGAAATCTGTAGATGCTGCGTGTGTTCTTCAGGCCAGTTATGGTGGTGGACCGGTCCAAACACGGGCGTGGCCGTCACCTGTCATCTTCCGTAGACTTCTCATGTTTTTGACTATATAGCAACTGAATGTTTTGGGACCAATTTAGTCATCTTGAGCTGGTATATGTTTTTCTTGCCTGCCACCCTTATTAATCTCTCTGATACTTTCAACTGTCGAGTAGGTTTTTCTGTGTTTTGTTGAACAAAAATGCCTGACCTAGTCTAATAGTACACTGCATGTGCATGTTGAATGAGTTTGCTCAGAAGTAATAACGTGTTAATATTGAGGTGAATGAATTCTGGCAGGTGTTCGTTTGATGACGTGTGGACGGAAGAAATGAAATGTCACGTTTTCAAATAGGATGCACAAAACCTTGTGTAATTTATACGAGACATTTTTGTAAGGTTTAAAAGACCATAAATACATTTAAAACGCAGCCGCACTATATGAAAGAAGCGAGCGCACACCCGATCGAGCGAAGGACGCTCGATCGCGCTTTGGTGCCATACTATTTTATTCCATCTCACTTATAGAAAAGCTACAACTTTTGAACCGTCCCTTTGCTTGATATTATTTGCCGTTGCTTAATACAACTATGGAGTATATGTTGTGATGATTTGTTTTAAAAGCAACTTTGATGCCTTCTTGCGTCGTACGATTGAATTGACTTAACTTTCACCTATAGTCAGCTGTGCATCATAGGCAGGCAATTTTATCATGAATTTTGGAGCACGGTGCATTGGAGAACCTTAATTTAAACAGTTTAAAGTCAGATTTAGAGTTTCAACAAATTCTGAAACAAATCTACATGAACATATGAATATCTATTACACATGTGCAAAATTGATGACAAAATAAGTAAGGAAAGCGTTTATTTCCATTCGACTTTTTTCTCGTGCGCGTAAACCTCCTCCAGAGCCGTCGGATCGCTGCTAATCGTGCGGCTGTTTCTGTCTCGGTCGGGTCACGCGCAGCCCAACTAGGTGCGTTGGTTGACTCGTCGATTGATTGCAACATCGCCCCAAGGTGAGATCTCGGTCTGTTTCCTCCCCCCTTCCATTTCGTCCTCTTCCCCACCTTCTTCCCCTTGCGCAGATCCAGCCATCGTGGGATGCGACGGTCGACGCGGCTGCTAGGGAAAGGAACGGCGGCGCCGGTGGCTGGGGTGGGAGTGGAGACACGCGCATCGTCGTCGCACTCCATGGACGATGACAACACAAATTTCAGGTTTGTCTTCCAGATCTCAACATTTCTATCATCCGCCATCCCTAAACGCGCGATGCAGCAGTGGATCCGTGGTAGCGGTGGGGGCAGTGCGGGCTGGGGTTGGGTTTGTATCGTCAGATCTGCTAGACAGAAGGAGGGGGAGCAGGTCGGGGTTGGGGCTGTGCTCGTCGAAACTGCTATGCAGGAGGTTGGAGAGCGTGTTGAGGTTGGGGTTGTGCTCGTCGGAGATGTGACGGGAGGAAGTGCCTGTCGGAGGTGTGCTTTTGGTGTTTGAGGGGTGGTGTCCGTAGGCGTGACTCGTTTTGCTAGTTTAAACCAAATTCAATTTTGAATCTAAATTTCTTAGTTGTGTTGCAGCAGAGTATTTTTCAAACTAGCACTAGAGCACACCTCATTTTTTACTCTGTCTTTTGTTAGTTGCATTTCTTTTGGGAACTTTAACCTGAAATTGAATGTTAGTTGCAGCAGAGTATTTTTGTTAATTGCATTTGTACGCTGGATTCAGCCTAGCTAGCTTGCTTTGTTTTGTTTTGCTTGCTTGCTTGTTCATAGTCTAGCTTTCTCAGTTGCCTGGCTAGTGATAATAATCCTAGCCTAGCTTATCCATTCATTCCATTTAGTTAACTATCCATTCATACATTGAAACCATTGCCACATTTTTTTTTCATTTAGTTTGTGCTTCCCTGGTAGCTAATTTCATAACAATCATAGCATGCCCTCTATACTTTAGTTTCTGTTGAACTCAACTGAAGCAAATAGGCATCACGACATGTTGCATGTATGTGGATGCTCTGCTGCTAAAGGCAGCGAAATGCTCTGCTTCACTCATACTAAGTATTGTTAATTAAGTGGTTTCCTTTTCCATGGCAAAAGAAATGTGAGGAAACACTATGCTAGTCTAAAAGATGAACGCTACCACCCATGAGGTTTAGTTTCTTTGGAACTTAACTTGAGAATTGAATGTTATTTTCGTCTAGTTCAAATTAAAGTCAGTGTGTAATTGAACTTGAATTTTTCAGTTGTATTGCAGCACACCATTTTTTTCATTTTTCAGATGTAGTCCAGTGACATATAGAAGTAGGGCTCTGTTTTTTTAAGGAATGTAGTCATGCGTTCAGATTCAGCTTTGTTTTTAGAAGTAGGGCTCTGTTATTTTAGTGGTAGTGTTGTGCTGCAATACTACAGTCACATATAGATGATGCATCCTCGTGCTATTATTTTCTTCTTCTTTTTTGCAGAATGGACGATGACGAATGTACCGCCGATGGGTCATTCTCAACACGTTTCTCAGCCATCCGGTTGCGCCAGGTTGCGAATATTCAGTCCGATACTAAGAAGCAAGTTATTAGCAAAAGCAGTTTTGGGTCCCTCCTAAACATCAGTTCTGTTCTCTGTGCCGGCTGAGTTGCTTGATTGGATAGTGATGAAAATTGACACAGAAAATGCAATGTTTAGGTATGCACGACAAGCATAATGCACCATCTTCTTTTTACCTTTGTATTTTGCTTGTCGCTGGTTCCTCGTTTGCAATTGATTTGTTGTGTTTTTCACATCAGTATGCTGCATCTATTTTCGCAGTCACAAGAAGTCTATATTGTTCACGAAAGACATGGTGTGAAATTTTTTAATGTCCCTTCTGGGTCAAGGCCAGTGGAGCTGTTGAGGAGGAATGAGCCTCATGTGCTCCGTGAACCATATCGAGTAGGGTCAAGGGCTCCAATGCAGCATGCTATTCAAGTGCTGAAGGCGACAGATGATCGTGATGTAGTTTCCATCAACGGGACTTGGGGTGCTTTTACGCATTGCTCTCCTGCTATCTCCTGGGACTGGCAACATGGTCCCCCTAGAGTATGTTGCGAGCTTGGTTGACATGGACAAGATCAATGAGTTTGCATGGGATGAGCATTTCTTGGCTGCTGCTTTGAAGGAGGTGAAGAAGTACCAAAAGAAGAGGGAGGCAGGGAAAAGTGGATTCTGGATTGGCGGTTGTCTGCCCATGTTCGTGGTATGTCAAATGATCCTGTTGCTTTTGTCTATTTTATTTCTTTTATTATTCACTCGACTATCAATTTTTTCCAGAAACTTTGCTCACAATGGCATCTTGATTGTTTTTAGATAATTTACATGGATTTTGTCGATGTGCCTCGTTGGTTGGTCTCTGAGCATAGATTCAACTACTCTCTCCCAAGGGCATGTTTCGTTTGCAACAACGACTTCAAGTTGCTAGAAGAAATTGATAAAAACAAGCTCAACCTTGATAAAATTGAATTTAGAAAACGGAATGTAATACCTCTTTTCCTCCTTTCAATATATCATAACTCTTTATGTTTTGCTGCCATTTTTTTATGTGATGACCAACCTTTTTTTGATATTCTGCAGCTTCGTCGTTTGCCAGAGACACCATACGTATCAATTAAGATTTGCAACGAAGATGATTGTGAGAACAACAATGTGGATGGAGTTAGTGGAGGTGAAAAAATTCCTGAGATACCAACCAATCCAGTCACAGATGGGAGCGAGACCGGCGGCGATGTGTGCGGCTCTCTAGATGAGTGGCTGCAGCCGCTTCCTTCTAGTCAAGACTTGGAGGTAAGCATGTTTTTTTCTTTGTTTATTTTGTTCTCAATTTCTTTCAGTAAGTAAGTAGTAAATAAATAGTGCATGCATTGATGATGTAAAACTCAACTTTTTTCTCTGTTTCATTGTCGTTTTCTCTTTGAAGCAGATCCCACCTCACATGCTCCCATTATATGAGAAGCACAAGAAGTTGCATGCATCAGAAGTGAAGAATGTTATGACATCGTTCGGCCAGATAATGCAGTCAATTTTTTGCAAGCGTGTAGCACGTATTTTGGTTGAAGCAAACTCCATTGCTGCAACTTCCAAGGTACACACGTTTGAAGGTGTTACTTTTGATGTTCCAGCAAGCAATGCGGCAGGAGCATGTGAGACCAGGGCTCCACCCCAAACTAGCCCTACAGTTCACATGGGTGCCACAACACAAGAAGCCGAGGTTGAGATGGAAGTTGCAGGTTGTCCTGACACCAATCAGAATGGACATGATCAGGACATTGTTTTGGATAAAATGCAGAGTTGCGATAAACTTGGGAAGGAAGATGCATAGTTTGGACAGGATAAGGGGGATCGGGAGGAGGTGGTAGCCCCTGAATATGTGGTGGGAGATCTAAAAGTCCCATGTGTTACTGATGAGGCTAAGCGGGTGATTTTATCACAAGGTACGGTGGCTGCATTGGATTCACTTGTGTTAGAATTTGATGATGGTCCTTCATGTAGTCTGTTCAAAGAGGGAGCCAAAGACTTCGAGTGGTTCAACATGGATGCTGAGACTGCAAGGAAGGTTATGGAAAAGAAAAAGGGAAATGAAATTAATGGTGTCGCCTCTCCTGATGTTCAACAACCGCTTTCAGCAGGGCCCACCTTCGATAAGAATCCAGTGCTTGCAAGGCAGAGCAACAACTCAAAGCTTCCAGTGCAATATGAAGCACCAGTTCCATGTTTCAACACCGATCCGAAGCTTCAAAAGTCAGGTGAAACCCGACCACCCATATATGATGCATCTCCAAT